CGCCAACCGGCTGAGGGGAAGCTTCGGGCCCCACTTCCCTCCCCCCACCCTGAAAGCAACGAACCGGGTGAAAACGAGGCCGCGATCCCCCCCCGCCGAGAGCCCGGCCGGGCTACGGGTCCCGCCGCCCCCGCTCCAAGAGCCTGGCTGAGGTCGTTCCCTTCCTCCCCACCCATTCCCGGGTGACCGCGAGACCAGGCCCCATTCGTACCTGTTCAGCGCGAGGCGGGCTCAGGGTGCGGAAAACCGGTGATGCTGGCGCTGCAGTGCTGAATGAGACCGGCTGCCGGCCCCCCACACACTTTATATACCCCCAGCAGAACCTTCCAGAACTGACGCGCCCCTTCCCCGCCAGCCGGCCAATCCTGCCGCGCCTCCCCCCCTCAGGAGCCAATCGCGGCGAGCGGAGCACGCCCCCTCAGTGACGCACACAGGAAGGAGGCGGGCCTGCCGGCCGGCGTTCTCGAACCTTCATGCCCGTGCCCGGCTGGGGAAGGGGCCAGTCGCCGGACGGGGTGGAGCTGAGGAAGGGCGGGATCCAATCAGAGCTCCAGGCTGCCGCTTTATTTGCATAAAGGGGACTTGACGCCGGCTGGTGGGGCGAAGGCGGAAGGAAGGCCGGTAATTTAACCAATCGTATTACAGCGTGGCTATATTTGCATATTTGGAAAGTGGGGGTGGGGAGGGAGGGAAGGGAGAGACCAATCCGATCGCGGAATTAACAGAGCTCGTTGCATATGCGGTAGCCGCGCGCGCGGAAGGAGAGCGGGGAAAGGAAACAAAATGGCGGCTCAGCTGTAGATACGGGCGGGGGGGCAGGGAGTCCAAAGGGGGCACAATCGGGGCGCACAGCCCCAGGTTGGGGGCCACAGGAGAAGCCACGACCCCGCAGTTCCCTCCCACACACTCGCACAGCAGCCACACCCAGGAGCCCCTGGGGGCCTCTATCTGTCCCATGATGCACCTCTCCCTGTCCCCCCCCATCCCCCGTGTATGGCTGGCTGTCCTTTCCCCCCAGTACTCATTCCCTGCCTATGGTGCAGTGGCTGTGGTGTAGACGTGGCGGCCAGAGGGGTCCTTCAGTCGCTGTAGTAATCCATCCTCACCCATAGGTTCCGTTATATACAAGATTTACTGTTTGGTTCAATGGCTCACAGCACATTATCCCACTATAAAAATGGTTCCAGCATACCTTGACCCACCAGAGGCAAGCAGCTCGGAATAATTCTTCCATCACGGAGACCTGTCTACACCAGGGCATAGGTTGGCATAGCCACGTCTTGTGGGAGAGAGGGGCCAAACGTCCCTTACATTTAGGCATCCCCCATTACAATCCAAAGCAGTACCACATATGGGGTGGGGTAATGTGGCCTAGTGGATAAGGCACTGGGCTGGAATTGGGGAGCCCTAGGTGCTAGTTCTGGTGTTGGCCAAGTCACATCACTGTTCAGTGCTGCAGTTTCCCCATCCCTAAAATAGGGGTAATGTTGCTCCTTCGTAAAGCATATTGAGCTCTGCTGACAAAAACTAGTATATAAGTGCTATGTACTATTAATTATTAAACGCAAAAAAAATCTCACCCACTGCCTGCTCATCCCTACCCTTCAAGGTCAAGTATTCCCTGTCAACCTTTGAAAACAAGTATAGGCTCAGATTAGATATATTACCATTGGTTTGTTTTTGTTTTGTTTATTTTACTTTTCAATAGTAAATGTTTGGGGATAGTCACAAAACAATTTCACGTTGAATAAGGGGTTGCTAACATGAAGAGATTGAGTAACACGGCTTCACAGAAAAGTGTAATCCACCCCACTTTTCCATCACATGCTGGACCCACCATGCCAGACTAGAAGTATTGACACGGCAGATCAGCCTTGACTCATCTAACCTAGTATCCTGTCTTCATCAGTGGCCAGGACACAGCTGTTTAATTCTTATGTATCCCACTGTGCAATATCAGACGATAGGCTTCTCCATAAAGGGATAAATCAGTTGTCTAAGTAGCATGGGTTGATTTTCAACAATGGCGAATGTATGATATTTTAATGGAGAGCATGCACTGTTTGCATCTCACTGTGTAATACCAGACCATACGGGAGGCAGTGTTGTCCAGTGGTTAGATCACTAGACTGGGGCTCAGGAGACCTGGTTTCTCTTTCAGGCTCTGCAACGGGCCTACCAGGTGACCTCGGGCAAGTCACTGCATCTCATGCCTCAGTTTCCCGATCTGTAAAATGGGGGAAACGATATTGACCTCTTTTGTAAAGCACTCTGCAATCTAATGAAAAGCACTGTAGATAATCTATCATTATTACTGCTACCATGTGTTGGATTAGATGAATAGTCCATTTTGTCTGCTATGCTGTCTCCAATAGTGTCCATTGCTGAATGCTTCAGAGGGAGGCAAAACAAATGTGTCTACTTATTCAATCTTCTATTATAGAACATTAGAGTATGCCACACCAGGTCTATTTTGTCTGATATTCTGCCTCAGACAGTGGCCAATTCTGGATGCTTTGGTGAAAGGTGTAATCCTGTTCCTCTGCATAATGTATTTCACTATCTAATATACCATAGGATTTTCCATAGCAAAATAGGTCAGTGGGCCTATCAGGCATTCTATCACCAACAGTGGCCAATGCTACATGATTCAGAAGAAGGCATAACATAGTGCAATACAGTACCACGGAGGAGAATGGCAATTGTTTCTTAAACCAGCTGGTGATCATTTTATGTCCTGAAACAATTGACAGCACTTGTAATTTTTATCCTGGCAACTGCAAATGCTGTTCTTATTTATAATACATCGGCTAATGCCTTTTAAAAAACGTACTTAGTTGTTTACTTCAGGGAACATCTCACAATATAATAAACTTTTCTAGCAATGAGGGTCAACCTGCAGCCTTCCTTTTTATCCTTTGGTGGTGGAGCAGGTGAAGATCCTCCAATTTCCCTTCACGCCCTAATTCCCTGCATCAGATCAATTCACCTGTCAGAGGAAAACTGGCCCTATACACCTCTACCTCGATATAACGCTGTCCTCGGAAGCCAAAAAATCTTACCGCGTTATAGGTGAAACTATGTTATATCGAACTTGCTTTGATCCGCTGGAGTGCGCAGCTCCCCCCCACCCCACCCCGAGCACTGCTTTACCACGTTATATCCGAATTCGTGTTATATCAGGTCGCGTTATATCGGGGTAGAGGTGTATTTCTCAGAAGGGGTTGCTTTAGGGTGATGCAGAGTTTTCTCCATTGAGGAAAATCTGGCCTCAATGGGATCTTTTCAATCCCACTTTTTAATCCTTTGCAAGCTTCTCGTGCCCATAATCAATGCTAATGTACTGAAATAAACCAAGGGATAACAATGCAACAATCTCCACATTATTTATCTGAGTGGAAATATATATAGTAATCCACGGCCACATGCCACTCAAAATGAGTTGTTGCAGCAGAAGTGTTCCAGCAAAGAGGGTGCGTTTAAAATAGCAGCTAGGAAGGAAGGACATTAGTGGAAAACTGTATTTGTTCGCCTATAATATGCTTCTTTAGGAACCTTTGATACAAAACAAGCATGTGGCCCATCAAAAATCCTAAACAGTCATACCACCTGAGGCTAAAAGATGGTCAGATATCTGTGACCGAATGCACCCCTATATTCACACCCTACACACCATTGTAATAATTGTTGTACAAAATATGCCTTGTGAGGTATCATTTGAAAACTAATAACTCATTGGTCAATAATATGATTAACTGTGTATAGCTATGTTATATATGTGAAAAGTTATAAACATAAGATGACATTAGATCTGAAATTTGTTTACCAGACAAGTGTGGGTAAACAAGTTCTCAAAGACAAAGGGGACAGGAACAAACAGATCTGCATCATAGCAAACAGCATGAAAGCTCTTTCACCACGAGATTCCTTATCTCTGTCCTCACAGCGGGAATAAATGGGTAACCCTCAAGAAAATGCATTTCAAAGGGGACTGGACTATAAAAGTGAGGGGCAAAAACACCTCAAGGTATCTCTCTCTATTCATCTCTCTCTCTTTCTTTCACCTAAGAAGACAAAAGAAACAGCCTTTGGACGCCGATCCTGGCCTGAGAATTTGGGCATATGGTGAGGGAATTCACCTTCAACCAAATTTAGTTTGTTACGATTTAGTACTAGGAAGCATTTTATCTTTATTTCTCCATTTCTCACTTTAATGCTCATACGTGCACTCACTTAAAACCTCTCTCTTTGTAGTTAAATAAACTTGCTTTATTCTTTAATCAAAACTAATCCAGTGTTGGGGTTAAGCTGGGCTGTGTGGTAACTCTATTTAAAGTAGCAGACTGTTGGATATTGATCCCTTTAGCGGGGGCAACGGACCCCTAAAATATCTGAACTGTCCAGGAGAGGGCCGGACAGTGCAGAGTTCACATTTTTGGGGGGAAATTCGATAGTGGGAGTTTGTTGGGGTCACCCTGCAAATAGTAACCAAAGCTGCTGGAAGCCAGAGTGTGGCTGGTGTTCGCTGACAAGCTTCTGGGATCAGAGGTGTTGGATTAGGGTTGTGGCTATACACAGACACTCAGGGTGTGACCTGCATGCTGGCAGGCTGTTTGTGAGTGGCACAAGTGGAAGCTACAGCAGCAAAGCATTGTGAGGCATCCCAGGTTGCAGGGCAAGGGTGATGCAGCCCCTCACAGGTCTGGATTGCAACCCGGAGTGTCATAATATCATAAACCAATTAGGGTCAGGCAAGCTCAGTGTTACTGTGAATTGTTTAGATTCTTTAAATGAAGTAAAAATCCCCATAATAAAGTCAATGAGAGTCTGCCTGAGTAGGAACTAGAGGGACAGATTCTCTCCAGTCCCTGCATGGATATGCAGTGAGAGAGGGTTCAAACTGCTTTCCACCCCTGTTCACAAGGGCAGGGTTAGAATTCTGTTTAATAGCATTTTTTCTGCTCCATACTAGCTCCGACACCCTCCCCTCACTGAGCTGACTGAAAAGGTGAGGAGAGGCAAAGTGAGCCAGGGTCCTTCACATCCACAGAGCTGGTTGGGTGTGGAGCAGGGAGCATACTGCACCCTCTCTGGGGTACACACTCTAGGAGCCTGGCATTCCTCCCAAGGCCTCCAGCCACATTGCAACCCCTCCAGCACACGGTGCAGAATTTTGCCTTGAATAAGGACCTCATGATTTGGCCAAATATCATAATTTTGTTAGCGTCTAGAGTTTTGTGAGGCTCTTCACTGATGACAATGGATTGTCTTTGTTGCATTTAATGTTATCATTTGCAGTTCTGTAAGATCTAAGGCTTGGTCCACACCTAAAAGTTAGATTATCCTAGCTATGTCACTCAGGGCTGTGAAAAATGTCACACCCTGTGCAATGTGGTTAAGAGTATGCCAACTGCATATCTTTGCATAAAACATCCAAGCAAGCAGGAAAAGCCAGAATCTTTGCAATGGAAATCAGTTTGTTTTTAAGGGTTTTATTGTCATCCCGCATACAGTTTAATAGATACCACTGAAATGTGACGGTTCGGGTATAAGGGTGAATTTCTGTGGTTGTCTTTATTGTGAGCAGTATTTGTCCTCTGTCCCTACTCACAATATCTACC